GAACAAACCTGCCCATTTCTCAAACAAATTCAAATACCAAAACCAGAGCAGATAAGCAGTACTGTATGTTGTTGCAGGATAAAGTTTCCATATGCATTTTATTCTGCAACATGCAAGTAACACTGGAAAGGTACAGACAGTTTTCTGTAATTATTTCAAATGGTTTGTATATGGGCAGGCTTAACTGCAATGCTCCGGCACACTGATCCTCACCACATCCTGCAAGACATTAATACTTTTATGCAGAAATGGGAGCAACTTCCAGCAGCCATCCCACATCCACAAAATGTAATACAAACAGCATCTTCAGTAAAGCCAGGCTTTAATCCATTAAGTAATAAATTCCAAGTCTCCTCCATTCAGGAACAGAGAATATCTTCATCTATCAGTATGGAAGTTATTACCTCAAACCGGTATGATTTTCATGTCCTCACCAACCAGTATGATTCTCATGTCCTTTTCAAACACTTTCAATTAGTTTTGGAGCTCATATAGGCCAAAGAAAGGTACAGAGAATATAAAGAAGCTCGCTCCTGAAGAAGGCTTCGCCGAACTGAGTTGAGTCAGAGCTTTTTAACAATTCAAGAAATACAGAAGAGCTTTTTTCTACTTTCTACATCCTGAGACTTTGTCTCTCATTTATACCGTAATCTCAACTTCTCACCAACCAACCGTAAGTTCTGGAATTATACTGCACAAGGTAACCATTATTAAGTAAGTTAAACGGCTAAATGAAGAGTTTGTTCAGCACACAAAGCTATTTGTCTGGTGTAATCTTCTGGTACAACTGTAAAATTAGGACAAGAATTTTTTTGAATAGGAAGAGGACACAAATTGTGTCTTGTCAGCCTATGGAGTGCTCTTGAATTCAATTAACTCTAGATGCTTACCACAGGGGATGGCATTTCTGTGGATTATACTAAAACTGAGACATTAATAAAAGCCAAATACACACAAACAAAACAGAATGAAAAGGAAACTACTTAAGGAACCTTAATATTCTTGGCAAGAATTATTTTTTAAATGCTTTTACAGTCTAAGCCCCTAGACGGCAAAGTGTTCTATGACACTCAAAAGGTTGCAGAACTGTCACTCATTTTTCATCTCTTCCTACCACTCTGAAGGTTGACACATGCAGTTCAGGATGCGCAAGGGTAGCTCTCTTCTCACTTAGGAATGTTCTTTGAGCAAAGTAAAACTAGGAATTCTATGCTGTGCAGGCAGCATTTAAAAAAAACAAAGCTGATTCTGATGGTTGTTGTAGGTTTTTTAGGCTCTTTGGCCATATTCTGAAGGTTGTCCTTCCTAACGTTTCACTAGTCTCTGTGGCCGGCATCTTCAGAGGACAGGAGTCAGAACACTGTCTGTGCTCTGTTGCAGTTTGTTGGATAGTTGAGTATTAATATTGAAACACAAAACAGATTCAAATCAGCTACACAAAGAGCTAATGCAGCACTGTATTGCTTCATATGGTCAGAGTAACTCAGCAACTTGAAATGACAAGGTCAAATTTAAACAGCCAGAATAGGCTTGTATGGCACATGATGGTGAAGAAAATACTATATGTTTATGCAGTTAGTCAGTCATACATCAGCTCACCAAGGAGGAACTGTTCATTACCACTAGAAAACAGACTGGCAAGTGACATGATTATATTCCGCTACCCCAGCCCTCCTTCAGCCAAGTCTAAATTCCTTTCAAAGTACCAATGTGGGACTGACAAAATAATTACACAAGGAATACATTTTACAATAGTCTCATTCCATACTAATAGCTTTAAATTTGAGCTTTCCTACACAGCACAAATATAACGGTAAAATGTAACTTTCACAGAGGGGTATAAAGTGATTTTAACAAACTTTGCTTCTGTGGGGTACCTTGGAATATTCTAAAATTCATATTGAAGGAAAAATTAATCTAGATTAATTATGCTGTAAAATAAATCTTCAAGAGGCATTCTGCTGACACACACACAGAGAGTACTGAAGTATAAACTCCTCATCAACCCTAAGGGAATGAAGTGTGAAAAATGCATCCAGACCCTCCCAAGGTTGCCAAGGGGCTTTTAGATAAAGAAAATTGGCCTGCATGGTTCTAGAAATACTTGAATATCAGATGTGCAACCTGGAAAACAAAAACGTCTTCCATTTTTAACCTAACCAATCTCTTAATAGCTCAGTCCCATGCATATCTAATCAAAGTAAATCCAATTGAGTGCACACAGGATTACAATCTAATTTTCATATTATTTCCACCTATATACAAAGTTGTTTCCCACTGCAGCAGTGATACATTTCAGAATCACATTAATTTCACTCTATTGCTTTTGGCAAGATCAATGCAGAGCAGCAGACCGAGAGAGAAAACTGCAACATTTCACATTTAGGAGGTTACTGGGTTTTTTTTTTTTTTGCAAGTTCAAGGCTATGAAAACTACCTATCCTTCCCCTTGAGAGACTATTCCTGTAGGCAATGAGTCAAATACTCTTCTCTGCCCTTCTCTAAAATGGAGGGGAAAAACATTGACAAAGTCCTGTTCAGAACAATTTTCCAGCAGAAAGACATTTTACCTGGATCTGGGCTATTCATTAATGAGGTATTAGATTATGAAAGGGTTTTGATTCCCTCCCCCTTTGAATCACAGTTGAACTCACAGTTTTGCCAAATTTGTAGCTGCACTGAACAAAAAAGCAGGTACAGTAACTAGCACCTCTGCACCACAGAGTCTAAACAGATTGCATTTTCCTAGACTGTCGTGTGGCTAAAGTCACAAGGTAACAATTTCTAGACTTCCCAGTATGTATTACTCTGCCTGGACGTGGCTGCTGATGGCACAGAAGGTTACTAATGACATCAACATTGAGGTTATAGCACAGAATGCGAAAACTCTGTTCTGCAACAGAAAAAAAACAGTTCACAAAGTATTGACACAGTGTTTGGTTGCTTTTAAAGTTCTATTACCTACCTATTGTCATTTTCTTCAAATTCTGCTAGCACATATGGGGATGAAAATTTTCAAGACTGATATATGAAAGAAGCTGAAACCCCTTGCAAGCACTCAAAATATATTAGGCATCCACCAGCCCACACAGATTAGACTTAGTCATTTGTGATCTAGAACAGAAAGGAACAAACTTCAGAAAGCCAGCCCACCAAAATTAAGTCTCAGGATCTCAGGAACATACGCTGTCTTCCCAGCATGTCCAGGGAAAGTGGGAAATTTCAGGGATCAAATCACAGTAGGTATGTTCTGCATGTCCTGATGGGCTTTTGCAATTGTCTCCCTCCCCATCTCCAGTGGGCTCCATCCGGAGCAACAAGGCACAGCCAAGCTCTGCCCATGACTGGCAGGATGCCACCACCTTCAAACTCAAAGACAGTGTGCCCCTGACCTGTTAGGTACCATTCCTTGGCTCCAAAGAACCATCACTTCTATCTCACGTTTCTATCCCATCCCTACTTCTACCTGGTTGCCTGGAGGCAATTTTCACTTGTCTCAACCCATGACACACTTGCCTTATCAAAATAATTCATGCTCTGGGAGTAAAAAATGAGCCTCGTGGCGCAGTGGTTAAACCGCTGTACTGCAGCCAAAACTGTGCTCACGACCTGGGGTTCAAATCCCAGGTAGCCGGCTCAAGGTTGACTCAGCCTTCTATCCTTCCGAGGTCGATAAAATGAGTACCCAGCTTGCTGGGGGGGGGGGCAATGTGTAGCCTGTATAATTAAATTTGTAAACCGCCCGGAGAGTGCTTGTAGCGCTATGGGGCGGTATATAAGTCCAAAAATAAAAAATAAATAAATAAAATCAGGGCTGGTTCCAGGTCTGAAGAGGCCCTTGGCAAAACTGCTTGCGGGGGGGGCTTCTTTCCATCAGTACGTCCTGGCATGCTTATTTAGCAGTGACAGGTAAAGCAGAGCTCTGAATTAGTGAACCCCCCCCCGAACCACCTTTGAAATTTCCCACAGTGCTTTAGAAGAAAAACTGCATACTGAAGAGACGGTGGGAAATCTGAATGGCAGTTCTCACAGCTCCAGCTGCCTTTTCAAAAGGGGTCCCAAGCAGCAATCAGTGGGTGCCACATGGTGGCACCTGGCAGGGCGGGAATTATCCAAATCACAGTAATTTGCCTACATTTAATTCTTGTCTGCCTTATTTAAATAGACCATTTTCATCCAATTTGTTTTTACAGGATTTCTGACCTTTTAATTTCATATATTTTGCCACGGATTAAGAAAGCTGAGATACTGTCTGAGATATAGCAGACTATGTCTCTGCTGAGTGCAAAGTGACACTTCCTTACATTTTTCTTTACCTCCGGAGTTAATTAGTTGAAATTATCTCCGTGTTTTTAAGAATTTTTCTCCTTGCACCAAGACTAAAAGCTTGCTCTCTCAATAGAAGGTCACAGTTTCTGTTGTAGTCAACTGCATAAGACCCCTTATCCGTGGGATCAGTATCCACCGATTCACGTATCCATGGTCTTAAATACTGAATTAAAGATATTAAAAGAACATCCCACCGAAAAATATTTTTAATGAAGAAGTTACCATAATGGGCCACCAGAAGGAGCCAGAGACCATGCTGTGTATAGCATTCACTATTATAATAGTGTTCGCTATAATCCGCATCTTTCAGCATCTGTGGGGGGCTTGGCACCAATCCCTCATAGATACAGGGATTTACTGTACTATACTGCGTTAAGTGACAGTATCAGACAACCACACAGAGATCAATGTAATTGAAGTTATTTGCATATACCCTGTTTCCCTGGAAATAAGACCTAACCTGAAAACAAGCCCTAGTATGATTTTTCAGGATGCTCGTAATATAAGCACTGCTTCAAAAATAAGCCCTAATTAAGTGAAAACCCGCCCTCCACCATTTGTGCAGCAACCAGAAGATGACATGACTGTAAAATAAAACATCCCCAGAAAATAAGCCTTAATATGTTTTTGGAGCAAAAATTAATATAAGACCCTGTCCTATTTTCGGGGAAACATGGTACATGCATGCATTTGTGTGTGCATGCACACATACACACAAAAAATTAAACAGTTCCCTTTTTCATAGTGTCCGCACTCAGATATAACACTAAGCAATGGTTTGGTAACATGAGAACAAGCTATCATGAGGTTTGGGGTGGCACGCTACCTTTCCCCTTCCCCTTCTCTTCCATGGTTGCAAGGAGGTGGTCAGAAGCTCTCACTTCTGTTAGATCACCTGCTGTTTAGCATATTTGCTAAGCCAAAATCTTGTGGTCTGGATTTACTGGAAAACTATGGATTATTTTAAAAAGGCAGCTTCATAAATCAGCATGTTTCATCCAACCAGAACTAAGAATGACCATAAGCTGTGTTCAGTCTTAGCTGTGGTTTGTTGAAAGAAATCATCGTTACCCACATTCAGATAGCACAACAACCTGCAGTACATCTAAAACTGAGACAGAAGGTTCCAGAATCTTCACAGCTGCGCTGAAAGAGGGAGGGGCATACGTACACTTACAGGTAGCTCAGATTCATTCTCTCACTACGAAGCAATGGTTTTCATCATATATCTGAATGAGGTCAGTGATATTAGCTACAACTGGCAAACCTCACTGCAAATGAGATTTGGGCAAGAATATTGGCTCCTTCGCATGTAATTAGAAATGATACATTTCTACAGTGGCAATTAAAAAAAACATATCTTTCACAAGCTTTAATTTTTCTGTCAAAACTAAACCCAGGCTTAAAAAAAGAGAAGTGCTTAATGAGTCCAGCTAGGCTAAATAAAGAGGAGTTTTATCAGCAAGCAAGAAAAGGCTGACAGGAACCTGAAATACCTGGCTGCTCCTCAGTTCACAGTATCAGTACAAGAAGAACTTGTTGAAGAAGCTCACAGCTCCATGAACACCACATTCAATATTCCCATGTCAGCTCTTTGCCACTTCATCCTGAACAGATGTTGCTGCATTCTCTGTTTTGGAGGAAACTCTTGTACACTCGTTCGTTATACACCACCACCAGCTCTCAGCAGAAAAACTTTCCCATTACAAGTATTTATAGCATATGTGTAGATAAATAAATGTATGCCTTACAGTTTGGTAATATTTTTAAGGTTCTATTTTTTAAATGCTTAAAATCTTTGTTATAAGTAACTAGAAATATTTTTCAATGCTCTTTAGTGTAAATTGTCTCTTTTTGGTAAATCTGAAAGCTATGACTAAAGCAGCATATATATTCACATCTATTAACCCCCTCGCCAAAGAATAGTGTGTGCCTGTGGATAAGGGGGTGGGTCTCTAGGAAGGTCTTATTCAACACTTTGAGATACTAAGAACTGACCTTTTCATTGGTTTCTTTTCCTATGATCATAAAGAGAAACCACTGGTTACTAGCTGACACCATAAAGTGGGGGGGAGGTGTTAGGGTGAACACCTCAGTTCATTAAAAAAAAAAAAAGAGCAAATACTTATCTGTTTCATTCATTCCTCCAGTCAAACATGATTTAAGAAAATATCCTCATTTTTACAAGGAAAACCTGTTGCCTAAGCAGGCTGGATTGACCCAGTGTTTGTACAAAACCCAGCAAGTTTGCCATAAGGCCATCTTTTTCTTCCCATAATGTCTACTTTGTTTTTCTCCATTTTAAACTACCTCCCCCTCTTTGCAATTTCTGTTAAATCTATTGCCATTCATCAGCAAATTTCCTGCAGAAATCATCTGCAGCGCCAGCAGATGTGTGGCTCTTTTATTCTCTTTTTTTTGTACTTCCATAAAACTCAAGACCAAAGCAGAGTTTAGACTGCTGCACATCTTGCTATTATCAAGAGATTTTTCTCTCCTGCACCTATATCCTTTCACTTACAAGCAACATACTGGGGAAAATGAGATAGGTGCATTTTTTCTAGATTTGGCAGCTGAATTCTTATCTCCCCAGCAACTTCATACAAAAAGTAATACTGGCACAAGGACTTCTCATTGCTCATAGGACACTGGAAATTTTATCCTCCGGAATTATTAATAATGGAGGAGATTTTTTCCCATTTTTATATAAAAATATTAAACAGGGAGACACTCACAGATAGATAAACCATGATTATGTTCCCCATTAGTATTAGACTATTCTGATATACAAATATTGCTGTTATATTAGATCAAGTGCAAGGGAGGCAAATGATGACCTTTGGGACAAAACTTCTGTATTAATTCATTCATCATGACTGGAAATGTCACTCTTTTTAGTCTTTGCAGTGCACAAAAACTAAGGAGGAAGGGCAAAGTGTTCTGCGCCATCTGCATTTTGCAACTGAAAATATCACCCAAACTTGGCAGTGCCAAACAGCCATTACACTCTTTTTCAGTAGCTTGAATATTTAAATATTGTTGCCTCTAAAATACTGCTCAAAAGATTGCTAGCCTCATAACAAACAGTCAAGGCCACACACCCTAAATGGGCAAATTCCCCTCCATTCTCAAAAGCCCTTAAGCAATGGGTCAGTTTCTAAAAAGACACATCAAAATAAAATGAAACAAAATGCAGTCAGGCCAGGCAGATTCTACCAGGACATCCATTCTTCGTAAAACAATTAACTGGGAGATAAGTGGGAAAATATATGAGGGAGAAGAACCAGTTCTTGAGCCCGTGACACTACAGTGGTACAACCACTGTGATAGATACAGATGTCGATGTCCTGCACTCACTGCAGCTGGACTGCTACAGCCCATAAATAACAGTGCCTGTTGCCAAGAAATTAAACAAACTGTATTTCCTTTATCATTATCAAATACGTTACTATTTTTTAAAAAGCCACCCCCTTCTAACTGTGAATCCCTGAATCAGAGGTTAGTTGACTCAGTTTGGTTTCCTCCTCCTCAAGAAGATGAGAGGGGGGGGAAGGAGGAAACTTTTAGCACTTTGTTTTTCTATTCATCTTTTCTCTTTTGGCAACATCTCAGGAGCATTTCTGTCCAGCCGCGACATTGCACAAGTGAAAGCATGAGCTCGCCCTCCCAGTGGGGTTTGCGTCGAGCTTGAGAGGACCTCCCTCACCCATCGATCTGGCCTTTGGTCTCAGTCTGGCCCCGTGGTGGACACAGATCCCTGTGCTGTCTCCCCTGCCATGCCAGCTTCCTCTCGAAGTGGAGACGCCTCCTCGGCCTGCCCCCTTGAGGTCACGGTGGTCTCTGGGGAGATGCTATGAGGCCCCTCCAGAGGCATACATCCCGGGTGGTTCTTACGAAAGTGCTGGTTGAGGATGGCCTGGAAGGGGAAGCTTTTCCCACAGACGTGACAGTGAAAGGGCTTGTTGCCCGTGTGTTTGCGGATATGGTACTCCAGCTGATCCTTGCGGGTATACTTTTTGCCACACATACGGCAAACAAATGGTGTGATGCCCATGTGGAGACGCATATGCCGGTCCAGGCTGCCCTTCTGGTTGAATGATTTGGCGCAATAGATGCAAGTGAGACGTGGGTTGTAACGGAACCATCGCTCAGATACTTCCTGCTCGCGCAGATATTCAACGTAGCCACTCACTCCAACTATTGCAGATTCCTCCACCTACAGCAAAGACATTATGGGGAAGCAGGAGACATGATTATATAATCTGCATGTGAAAGCAGTTTTTAAATCTCCTTGGATCTAAGCATAAGAGAGGCAATGAAGCAGCTCCTATGTGGATCTTAAACTGTTATGTTCACATCTGCTGCCAAGGCAAGATTAAATGGAATATAGCCAACTAGATTTGTTTGTTCTGAAGTCTGCTCCACTTACATATAAAATCCAGAGCCAAATTGGAATAAAAATGTATCCAGAGAGAGAGAGACCGGGGACAGAAGGCTGCACAGAATCCAGGGTTCAGCAGCACCTCATCACATACCTTTTGACAAACAGAATAAATACATAGGCCGAAATTCTCTTTTGTTAATTATACTGGTGTAACACAAACAGTGTAACTTTCGAAGACAAATTGTCTCAAGTTAAGAGATTACCATAAACATTATCTATTGGATACTGAGTCACACAGCTCAGCACGCAACAGATGTCTATGGTGATGGTGATTTTTTAACTTCAGATGATCACCTCCAAAAGCTATGCCATTTTTGCAACTGCACAAGGGGATGCAGGCGATACATTTAAAAAATTGGATGTGTGTATGGAATTCATGTATGCCACTCCTTGCAGTCCCTTAGAATAAAGGCAGGATTAAAAATTGATATATAATGTACAGTTAAACCATAGTCTTAATCCGTATTGGAAGGTGGTTCTCAAGTTGAAAAGTTCTTATGTTGAATCTGTATTTCCCATAGGAATGCATTGAAAACCATTTAATCTGTATCTGCTCTTTTCCGTCCATAGAAACTACAGTGGAACCTCTACTTAAGAACTTAATCCGTTTTGGAATGGTGTTCTTAAGTTGAAACATTCTTAAGTTGAAGCAAAATTTCCCATAGGAATGGACTGAAAACCAATTAATCCGTTCTGGCTGTTTTTTTTTGTTATGTAGAGGTGCGTTCGTACATTGAAGCATTAGTTCCCATAGGAACTAATGCAAAGCTGGTTAATACGTACTCTACCACTAGGGGGAGTTTTTTTAACCTAAGATGACCTAAGGTTAAAAAAAGAGCAGGAAAGGTTTTTTTTCCTGTTCTTATCTTGGATTTCTGTTCTCAAGTAGAAGCAAAATTTAGCAAATGGAGCTGTTCTTAAGTTGGATTGTTCTTAAGTAGGGACGTTCTTAAGTAGAGACCCCACTGTATAATGTACAGTTAAACCATAGCAATCCTCTAACACGATACTGACTCACTGGCCAAAATCCTCTTGCATCAGGACTCAAATGCGATAATTTTGGAGGCATATTCCCGCAGGTTAAGAAATCACAGGAGGTATTATCTGTTGTTCACTGAGTTGCAAAACTGAGTATGCAGCTGATAATGTCTATGGTGATTTCTCAACATAAAGCGATTCACCTATCAAAGTTATGCCATTTGTGTTATGCCTTGGTAAGTAGGTTAAAGGATTTGGGCAACTGTATTCATTTGAAACATTTTCAAACTCTAAGAAGCCTATTTAAGAAATCAAAGTGTTAACTCCTTATTCTAGTGCTGGCTAGAATGTGACAGAATAAGAATACATTTCTCCCTTCAACAGCGCTGGATATAGGAGTGCCAGACCCCTTGTAGTTCAAAATCTATGTATAACCTATGCCTCCCCAAATGTAACTACTGAGAATGAACAGCTGATTCATTCACACACACACAAGCAGATCTCCCTCAACCCATGTCATCCTCCTGGCATGCCCTGAGAGCACCGGAGTTGCCATGCCAGGAGAAAGGGGCTGGCAAGGTATTGAAATGGGGGCCACCACACCAACAACAACAGGAACTATTGTAAGTCCAACACCCCCCCTTTCTCAGGCCACTTCCTGGAGATGAATAGCAACATAGTATTTACTGAATATTTATTTATTTTTGTTTGCTAGAATAAAATCCATTTATAACCAAAACCACACTGTTTGAACCTGTGCATCTCTCCAAGGGAGAAGTGTAGAACCCTTCAAATCATATCTTGCATAGTTGCACATTGTCTGATGCTAAAGAGTTAATCTATACCTGGCCATGAAAGCCTTTGCGAATACAGTTAATCTATTATATATATTATATATATAATTATATATTACAAGAAAACTCCACCCATAATGGCATCCTAATTAAGATTTTTTCTTCTATAACTTGTACATTACCAGAATCCTCTCAACATCATCCTTGAGCAATTCTGTGCATGTTTTTCCACATCTTTGGATCATGTTGAAAAAAACAGGAGAAAGCAAAAAGTGCCAAAAGAACATTTCTGTTTTGGTATTATTTGGATGTACTGGAAGGCAGGGGAGGACAACATGCAGCCTCTTGCCCATTTTTGCAAATCCAAGGTCCTTTTGGGGAAAATGTTCCTGGGAAGGAAGAGACTTGCTGTTCTTGGAATCGTCCAGAACTGCCAATTCTCCTTTAAAACGATATGCAATGCCCACCATTGCTGTAACAGCAGAGAAGAATGACATTTTTTGGTGGTAGTCCATGTTTCTTGTAATATATAATTTATTTCCTTTAATTCTGGTTAAAAGCAGCACTGGATCCTCTGTACTAAAAATTGTAACAAAGGATCTCCAATATGTATTTGCGAAGGCTCCAATATATCATACATTGTATGTAGCATGATTAAAATTTAGCAACAGCAATAGTTAAATGATATAGGCAAAGGACTGAACACCATACGTTCTCTGCAGCACTTCTGCCTAGTGCTGTTGCACAAGTCAAGGCTATGAGAACTGTTTACTGCAGGGACTGGGAAACCAACCACATTCATGCAGAAGTAACTCATGTTTTATGAGTTACTTTTGGAACAAGTTACACTCTGTAGTAACAAGCTGGAATGGAATTATTTGTTTGCTTATAACAACCATTGCTGCAGCTTACTATTTCTTCAACTGAATGAAAATTAATCTATGCCAGCTACTTGTTATTGTTGGTGGTGATGTGATTTGCCTGAGCAGGAAGAAAGGAAGAAAAGTGACGTGGGTATTTTATGTTGTGCTCCAACTTCCCACTACATCCAGTATGGTGCAATGGAGAGAATGAAAGACTAGAACTCAGGAGACCTGGGTTTGAATCCTGACTCAGTCATAGAAACTTACAGAGATGGTCTTGGCTACCAGATGGGCTTCATACCTATCAATCAATCAATCAATCAATCAATCGTGTGTGTGTGTGTGTGTGTGAGAGAGAGAGAGAGAGAGAGAAAGAGAAATGGGCATATACACAAAAGAGATGCACAAAAGAAAGAGAACTCTTGTATGCACATAAGAGGGCCTACACCCACTTTCCTGCTGCTCTCTTGCCTGTGCTTGTTTGCTTTCTCCTCTTGCCTCCTCTCTCACCCATGCCCATATGTTCACTTTCTCTCCTGCAGCACACCTGCTCCCACCCAAACATATTTATTTTTTCCCTCTCACATGCTCTCCTTCTCTCATGCCCACACAGGTACATAATTTCTTGTGTATGTGCAATCTGGCTTGTCCATGGTCTCCCATGCAAACGTACCTATGCTGTCTCTTTCAATTTTGTGTTCCTCTCCATATCAAAAAAATTAAGGGCTTAATTATGAGGTCATCTTTGGGATTATGTGGAACCAAACAAAGCTAATAAGCAGTACTTCAGTCTCTGGAGTCTACAGCTGGCAGGCAGTGGGTTAGGAGTACATCAGCAAGATCTGTAAGCATTACCCTTCCACAGTGGTTGTTCAAAGTATCTGACATTTGGAGATACCTGCCTCAGAACATGGAAGCTTCATTTACAAATATCTCATATAATTCTTCCAGCCAACCTGCACCCAACTGAACATGGATGAAATTTTTAATTCCTGATGCTTCCTCTGTTGGGCAAGAAGCTGCCAGATTTATTAAAGTCTATGGAAAGGCTTTTTTAAAATGACAATAGAATTTGTTCATTAAATACTCATAAGAAGCCTGTCTACAGTATTCCAGCTAATATGTTATTTTTCCTCAGTGTGTTGGACTACAAATCCCATCTCATTTCCAACAGAACTGTCTATGTTTGTGGGTTGTATTTCAAGATATCAGAAAGTGGGAAGATGAGTGGAAAGATGTCAAGGATAATTTCCTAACCTGGCAGAACAAGGTTTGTATTAATGAGCATCCATGATTGTACAGGTGTGCAAGAATGCTGAATAATGCTGAGTCATGGATGATACAACATCTGCTATGATTGGTTATATGCTAATATGTGTAAGTATATATATATATGTGAAGCTGAACTGATGATGTATCTCCACCACTGATCCATTGCTTTATGTCATGCTGCCACTTGGAATTGCTGTTTCTATTGTAAATATACTTTGGTGGCGAGAGAAGCTGCCTGTGTATGTGTGAGTTATTTGGACTGCCTGGACTGGACAAGACTCTGCACCAGAGACATCAGCTCTATGCACTAACATTGGGTTATGGGTCCAGCGCCAAGGATGCCTGCCATGTGCCAGAGGAGCCGGTGAGTGCCAGAGGGTACTACAGAGGCAAGAGGGTTCAGTCCTTAAATAGAAGAAGTCCAAGAAGGTGAGAGTTCTGCCATTCAGATCCCAGGAGGGGACAAAGAACGGAGAATGGAGATAAGAGGCAGCAGGATGTTTGGGGCAGCAGGAAGGGGAGGTTTTCCCCTAACGAAGATAAATGAAAGGAATTATCAACATGGTCAGTTAAAGCCGAAATGTTGCTAAGAAGGGAGGACTTGTGGAAGACTGTTTCCAATCCCCCCGCTGCGTTAGATGAGGAGGAAGAAAAACAGAATGAAAGGACAGCCAGTTAGTAAATGTACATGGACTGACCTCAGCTAGAGAATGCTGGTTATCTCTGAGACGTATTTATGTAAGAGATACAGCTGGAAGTAAAGTTGCATTGACACAAAAGCTGTATAGAGCGAGGCTTGAACATGAAGAGAGCATGTCAGAGCATTTGCAGAAAATGAGAAAGATGTTCATAGAGCTTGAACAGAGAGGAATGAACTTCACAGAAAGCCACAAGGTATATGTAATCCTAAGCAGTCTCTCAGAGAACTATGATGTGCTGGTGACAAGCCTTGAGTCCATGCCAGAGAGGGACTTAACCCTTGAGTATCTGACAGGAAGACTGCTGGAGGAGGAGCAAAGAAGAAATGAAAGATCCAAAGTCAGAGTGAGAGATGACAGCCCACACTGGAGGAGAGCTGCTTCCAGAAGCGGAGAGCAGAGCGGCAAGGCTTTGGCTGTGAGACGCTGTTTTAAATGCGGTTCGGAAAAATATTTACAAAGGAACTGCAAAGAAGCTGGCCGCCGGAATGAGAGCAAGAAACAACGGAGGATTTCTCTTGTGCAGGCTTCTGATAACGCCAAGGTCACCACATGAATTGTGGACAGTGGAGCCATATGCCATTTAACTAACAAACTAGACTTATTTTCTCTTTAGGTGCTTCGAAACATAGCTTCGTGAGCCTGACGAACAGAGAAAAGTCTGCAGTGAATGGAGAAGGGATTATATACATTCCAGGTTTGAAAAGGGAACTTTGTGGTGTGTTACTAGTACCAAAATTAGACTGTAATATTCTAAGTATCTCTTGTTTAGGCAAAGAAGGATATACAGTGACGTTTGCTGATAACACTTGTGCAATTAAGAAGGGAAACAGAATTTGTGCTACAGCAAAGCTTGAAAATAATTTGTAGGTGCTTAAAGGAAAGGCACAGAATAATGTAACACATGCTATGATTAGAAATAAACCTCAGCATGACCAGTGTGCACATCTGATGCATAGAAGACTTGGTCATGCTAATTTCAGAGTAATACAAAAAATGGAAAACTTGGCAAAAGGTGTAAAAATGAAACAGTGTAAAAAGCAAAGCAAAGCATGCTGCTTATATACCGCCCCATAGTGCTTCAAGCACTCTCTGGGCGGTTTACAAGTTAATTATGCAGGCTACACATTGCCCCCCCAGCGAGCTGGGTCCTCATTTTACCGACCTCGGAAGGATAGAAGGCCGAGTCAGCCTTGAGCCGGCTACCTGGGATTGAACCCCAGGTCCTGAGCACAGTTTTGGCTGCAGTACAGCGGTTTAACCACTGCGCCACGAGAATTACTTAGATTGTAATTTATGTAAACTTGCTCAGTCGAAAGTACACCCAATAAGCAAAGAAAGCAATACAAACACAGAGACCATTTCAGTTGGTACATGCAGACATAATTGGGCCTCTAGAGCCATCTATAGGGGAGCTAAATATGTTCTATTTTATTTATTTATTTATTAGATTTCTATCCCACCCTTTCAGACAAAGTCTACTCCAGGCGGGTTCCATTAAATGTTATAAACTAAAACAGTTAAAAACAATTCAAAACAATAGTGATTAGTAATGCTTAGTAATGCTCAAGATGGGAAAACAGAGAATTATAATAAAAATATATAGTCATACACATGTAGTTCTAGTCATAGTAGATGACTACATGCATTATTCATTCTGCTATCTAATGAAAAGCAGAGCAGAAGTGTTGAACCATTTCAAAAATTGGGTGAATTTTGTGCATAGAAGATATGATAAGAAAGTGGCTCAACTGCAGACAGATAGAGGGTCTGAATTCATGTCTAGAAAGTTCCAGACATGGCCAACGAACACAGGGATATACCATAGAAAAACGAGTTCCTATTCTCCCTTTCAGAATGGAGTGGCAGAATGTAGGAATGGAGTCCTGCAAACAATGAAAGATGCCCTGTTAGCAGATGCTAATATGAGTCATTTGTATTGGGGTATGGCATTTTTTACTGCAAATTACATAGTGAACAGAATATGGTCTTCTGCCATAGATCAAACCCCATATTATATGTTGTATGGAAAGGACCCTTCCCTAAAACACGTAAGACTGTTTGGGTGTAGTGCCTGGGTGCACGTTCCAAAGGAAATTGGAAGAACAGGGAGACCAAAGGCTAAGAAAATGAGGTTTTTAGGGTATGAAAGAGGATCAAAGGCGTATCATTTCCTAGATGGAAACAGAAATGAAGTTATCTCCAAGTCAGCTAGCTTCTGTGAACATGATATCCTTTTTATGCACCCTTTCGCACAACCATACCCCACTAGGAACAAATACACTATTTGCATAGCACATCCAAATGTTCAAAGCATTTCACATGCATAATTGAGTTAAAATTATAATTATATAACTGTATTTTTATAATTATAAAAACTCAGTACGGTATGTCAGTATTATTACATCTCACGTGTATTTTCATTTATACTGGCAGGCTTAAATGCATGGAACTACAACAGTGGCCAATTCCTCCTCACTTGCCTCTATTTCACGTCTTGGGGCACAGATCGCTCACTCATATTTTGTAAAGAGCTATAAATAGTGAAGAGTACTAGTAAAGAGTACAACTTCAGCAAACTTATCTTCCTATACTGTGTAATGCCAGTCGGTACTCTCTATTGTTCTTTTTCATGACTCTTCATAGTTTTTCCTCTTTGCTAGTAATCTTACCTGCTGATCTTGCCAACTTTCTACCCTTGTCATTTCCCATCCTACCCCTATCATTCCATTCAGACTAAAAACCTTTAGGCTGGCTTCAAATGCAATGTGCCCACCTGTAGAGGCCTTTAGAAACAACAATTGTAGCAAGCCCTAATAAGGGACACTCACCTGGGAACTAGGTTGTTTAGGTTCATCCATTCGCCATGGAGACTCACTTTTTGACCTGTACCGCTCACTTACAGTAACCACACTACCAGAAGGGCTAAATCTGCCAATACAAACAAAGATTAATGCTAATTAACATTCATTATACTAGAACTTAAAACGAAGAAAAAAAGAACAAAATGGTTCTTCTCCATCACTGATCAGTAATATGGCTATATACAAATTACAAACTGGAAGCAATACTTTCCAGTCAGATATACAAAACCATTAAAAAAAATGCATACTAGATTGTGTAGAGATGGTGCCTTACCATAAAACAGCATGAGAAGAAGCTGACGATCTATCAGTGAATCTAAGGATATTTCTATCTTCATGATGACTGCCAAGACCTAGAGTTGTAAATGTCTGAAAATTTCCATTTTTTACAGAAAAAACACATTTTTCCTGGGAGGTTTTCTAGAAAAAATGGAAATTTTTGGAAATTTTACGTCTCTACCAATACCCATTGTTCCCGAGGAAGACAAGCCCTTTCGCTTCTCATTTACTTAATAACAATACATTAAGGGCTAGTAGTGTAATGGAGCCAGGCCTTGAAGGCTGAAATTCCCCCGTTTCCCCAGAGTTTAGCTGGGTAAGATAATGGGTTTTTCCAAGAACAGTATATAGGTACAAGCACTCCCTGTTGTAAAGGTAAGTATTTGGGAAAGATTTGGTTTTTAGCAGACAATTTATGGCCACTATTTTGACAAAATACCTTCTCAGTCATTGATATGCACTGATCCAGTGGTCTGCATATTTGAAATCTCCTTATGGTTATAGGGTCTAACAGAGTGGATAACTACACTTCTAAATTTATTACCATATCACCACTTAGAGGACAGCCTTCCCCAACCCAAGCCCCTCCAGATGTTTTAGACTAAAATTCCCAATAATCCCTGACCATTGTCAATGTTTGATGGAGCTGAATGAGTTGTAGTTCAAAACATCTGATGAAGCAACAGGTCTGAGAAGACACCTGAGAACAGACAGGAGAAATCTCTATTAGGCTTGATCTATCCCACTTTAAAACCTCCATGAGTCTTCTTTTATTTAATCAAATTGAATCACCACATCCTAGAGGACTTTCTATGACTGGACCAGCTGACCTTTCCTGAATTTACTGCAAATTTGAGCCCCCTTCTCTTTGTTTTTATACTACAAGTTCTAACAAGTTGGAATCAAGCTTGAAAAATGCTGCCCGTAGATAATGCAGTTTTAACAACACTCTCAGAAGTGAACCAATGTAAAATAGTAACAAAAACAAAAGTAATAGTAATAGCTCACCTGTCAATCTCAGTGCTGGTTGGCCTGGCTACTTTTGCTCCTGAAGAGCCTAGGGTGTAACTTTCCTGCCCCATTGATCCATGGCCTGTGGTATCAATCACCATGGCAGTCACTTCCTCAGCACTACTCCCATCTTCTCCAGAAGGCTGATTCTCTGTCCCCAGCCACTCCTCCAAGTTCTCCGTTTTGATTCGTACTGCTCCAAGGACTCGGACATCATCATCACCCTGCCCACCATGGTCTGCCATGCCAGTCTCCACATACCACTGACCTGCTCTGTTAATCCTCAGTATGGGCTCCCTGCTCTCCACGTCTGAGCTCTGCTCAATTATCTGAGGGCTTGTAGACTCCTCAGGAGGACTGAGTTCCCGAATGTCCAGCACTGTGCTAACCTGGCCCATACGGCTTCCTTTTGGAGTGCTGTGGTGTGGACTCAGAGAGCGATTCAGTGATGGGGAAGCCCGATGAGACTCTGGAGGCCTTTCTTGATGCTTTGCCCTTGTTTGGCTCAATTCTGCTTCAACCTCAGCCACATTAATTTTGAAATGAATGCCCTCCAAGATCTGTGTACATTTATCTATAATGTGTTGCATCTGCAGGAAACTGGCTGCGGTCAGGTAGCTTATGATATCGGCCAGCTGGAGGCATATTCGGCCCGTGTAGCAAAAAGAAAGGAGCTGCTCAAATACCGTGGGGTTCTTGATGACAGAGATGGAGACTGTGCTCATCTCATTGAGTGACATGTGGTCCCGGAAGTAAGGTGAGCTAGCAGCCAGCACCACTTTGTGTGCCCTAAAGGCTTGGCCCTGCACATTGACCACTATGTCACATAGCCGGCCCTGCATGCGAAGCTGGTTGAGGTGGCTCAGAACAGAGTTGCTGAAATCGGGAATCTCCAGCTGAATGTTCCCACTCTTCTCCATGACGACTTCAGCTGCAAATGGAGCAGCCCTAACAAAAGAAAAGGGCACCAAAGGCAGCGTTAGAAAGGGTTTCTCTCTATGCCTGCTCTTCATACTACTGGAGAACAATGGGGACCCAAAAGAGTTAATTCTCATGTGACAGGGCTAAAAACGAAAATACATTTCAATATAATTCACCAGAGAGTAAGATCTACAGAAGTCACTTGCTTCTCAAAATCACTTGATTAAAACATAAAAATAAAAGGTAAAGCAACAAAAACTGCTGTATATATATTATAGCTACCTCAAACCCATCTCTCTCCATCTAAAAGAATATAATCTGAACTTTCAGTCTCAAATGTATGCTTTAATAACTACATAACAATCATATAAAATGTAGTTTACTTCTGCCTTGCATGTGTGTGTGTGTATGTGTGTGTGTATACACATACATACATACATATACATAT